CTTTTGTCTGTCTCTTAAATGCAGTTGGTATAATTGATGGAAGTGTTCCTAATGCAGGCACTTTTAGTTTCCATACTTCTCTTTCTGCCAATTTAAAATTCTTTACCTTTTTTTTCATGTGTGGGAGGCTGAAGTGAGCAGAGCTTTTTGGATGAACGACAGGTGTCTTTGGAAAGACATAAACAAAGAAAAATGAAGCACTTTATTAAGTCTGACAAACAGTGAAAAAGAAGTCTCCGTCTCTCTTGTTCTATATCTTCTTAATGAGGTGTGTTAAATTGCTCTTTTAGAGAGAGATTTCTCGCAGCCTCGCCTCCAAGTGCAGCAGAAATAAATGAAATCAGATGTTCCCACTTTGAGATAAAACACTCGCATTAAACTCTACTGTCAAAGGACGTTCTCTTTTTTTATATATGTATCATTTAGAGTCTCTTTAATCTGCGTTGTTATTATCTTTGTGTCACTTTTACTATCATCACAGATTAGTATTTATGTGTAACTACGGAATTTGAAAGTGTGAATGCCAGAATTTAACCGTTTCATCGTCTCCTCTCTGTGCAGACGGACTGGGGCGGTCAGAGGACCCTGCAGAGGAAGTGGACCACCTTCCTGAAGGCCAGGATGGTGTGTTCGGTCCCCGAATACGAGCTGCACCTCAACATCCTGCGCAGTGTGTTTGTCCTGCAGGGTCGAGACGCTCAGAGCAGCGTCTTCTACGGCGTCTTTGGACTCGAATGGTAAGAAACGTCAAATTTGTCCTTTCTTTTCATAGCCTTGCATTATGTTTCTGAGTTGTGCTGGCCAGGTCTTGTGAAAATGCTACAGAAAACCTTACAGGGAAATTACAAAAAAGAGTTACACTCAGGGATGAACTGATTGTATTTTGGCAGAAAGAGGCCTTTGAAATCACCTTTTTCACTGCAGAGCAAGAATGTGTTCGCTTATTATGACACAATTTCATCAGTAGAGCTCGCCAATAGAGGGTGTTGAATGAAAGACCTTCACCGAAGAAGATTTTTAACAATTTGTTTGAAACATACATACATATATTTAAAGAAACCACAAAAATAAAAATTGTAGATTGAAAATGTTCTACGGCGTCCATTAACTCTTGTTATTAGTTGTACATTTGCTTTTATTCCTCCTCAGTAGAAGAGAGAGGAGCTTGAATGGGCGACGGAAAAGTGCGCCTCAAATGCATTACACACCACCGTCCAACAGGGGGCAGCAGAGGGATACGTCCCATGAATAGAGGCATAAATAGCGGGGAATTCTAGTGTAGTGTTGCGCTACATCGTAGCTCCATCTGTGAGAAAATCCCCCGACCCCCTGCTGCCATCGGGTAACACTGTCTAGGGGTCGACAAGGTCACTGTCAACATGAGAAGGTCCCGCCCCTTTCCTCTCTCCTTCCTTTTAAAATGTCAGGAGTTACTTCAAATTTGGCCCAAATGTCGACTTGGATTTCGGGAAGAACATTTGATTTCAGTTGTCTTAAATCTAAAGTGAAGATGACTGTGAGCCCTCGTTCATCCACATCTCGATAGCATATCATGTCAGGATGATTTGACCTTTCTGAACCTTTGAATAATCACTCACGAGGTAAGGTGTCTAGCATTCAAAATCCCTGATAGTCACTGTCAGAGTAAGGGGAACATTTACATATCCTCCTCCGCACTCCTTCTTGTCTCATTAAATTAGGCGTAAAATGTTTGGATTTTTCCTCGTTCCATCTTGTTCAACATGAGCAATCCCGGCTTTTCTCTTGATTTATGTCATTCTGACTTGTCGTCCTTAAAAAAACAAGACCATTGGCAGACGTCACATTGGGCTGTTGGCACCTCCTTATCTCCTTGTTCTGATATTTTTAAAGTCTTCACAGTAAATTGTAGATAAGATAATCCACAAAATGAGTGGATGAGTGGAGAAAATTCAAACCCCGGGTGAGTTGTAATCCGAAACAAAAAGCTGCTGCGAGAGCTGACTGAGTGACAATGTCAGAGGACGACGGATGCCGGTGGAATATCTGGCCAGCGGTGCGAGCGCTTGTTTATGCCGATATGCAGAGTCATGCTGCATTAAACTGTCCCAAGGGGTGTTTGGATTGTGATGGAGAGGATAACATTGCAACGGGACAGTAACACCATTTATTTCTCTCTGTAACTTTCCTTTCTTTTCTTTTTTTTTTAACACTTCTCATCTCCACTCCTGTGAGACTCCTCTTTCGCTCTCCTTCCTCTCCTCTCTTTCTCTCTTCAAAAAAACACACCTGCAGGAGTTTTGAGTCGTCACCGCGTGTTAGACTCAAGCGTGCAATGAATGACTAAGCCCCTGAGCTATAAGACTCACCACTTTTGAAGGCAGTCTCCGGTTTCAACCTGGATCTCATTTTTCTCACCTGAATGCTTTTTGAAGACTGAGATGGGCACACAATGGACTTCAAGAATGTGACGCACCCCCCATTACTAATCTCACCTCTAGGGCTTCAGATTAAGGGTTACCTGGTTCCCAACTTCCAGGTATAGAGTGTTTTTCTTACACAGGTGCAGCACCATGACCACAAACAGGGCTGCTTTCTTCATGACTCACGGGGAGTGGGTTTCTGTGAGTGTGCTGCTCAGAAATCTGCAAATACTTAGACATACTTAGCTTCTGGAGATAAACCACATGCCTCTCAGTGACACATCTAACACATGCTCATTCAAGAAGAATGATAAGCACTTAGAGGAAAAAACTAATTGGATGACCTTTACACCTTCAGTTTTCAGAGGAAAAAAAAAAAGACAAGCAGCCTTTATACTTTTTTTTTTTTTTTTTGCCTGATCTGAAATTTGTTTGATATTTGATCTGGGTGGCAGTTGCTCCCCGGATAATATAGCTTCAGTGTTTGTCCAACATTGAATCATTAATCCTGAGTGTGTCCCTCTGGATGTGTCTTCGGGGTTTTGGGGTATTGCCTTTCAGGAAGAACATCAAAGCGTCTGCGATCTGCCAGTACGCCTTCTCAGATGTGCAGAGGGCTTTCGAGGGGCCGTACATGGAGGTGCAGGACTCGAAGTGGAGGGAGTACACGGGGAAAGTCCCGGAGCCGAGACCTGGATCTGTAAGTTTCATCCTTTAAAAACCGCACATTGGGTGCAGTTTCAAACGTAAACGGCAATGAGGAAGTGCCTTAAACAGCATTCTGTCTAACGGCCAGCAGGGGGCGACTCCATTGGTTTCAAAATGAAGTCTCTAAAAACACCTGAAAGTTGTGCATCATTTGTGCCATCTCAAGGTCTCATGAGTGCAAACACATGCTCGTAAAGTTATGCAGCATGGTGCAGTTTGTTCTTCTTTTGCATCTGATTGTGGAGTTGAGCTTAATGTATCTCCACTGGCTGCAGCGCGGAGCTGTTCAAGGTACTCTCACCCTGACGGAGCTTTAATCTGTCCACATGTAGATGATATTCTTGTAAATACTGAGGCACAGTTGCCACCAACTCACAGCAGACGCTAACTTTTCTACTTTATCTGGGCATGGCTGTTAGCGCTGTCGTTTTTTGAATCTGGTGTTTTTTTCCATTGAGGCTCATTGCCTTGAGGGGGTTCATTTTGCCCCAGACGTAGGCTTATGAATATGCATCTTTTAAATATGTGCAAACATCACTGGAGGACATAGATACTGTTTGCTCTGCAGCGCAGTTTAGGATGCATTTAACCATTCGCCCGATTATTTAAAACAAGATGAGAAAATTACCTGACTTCTCAGGAGATTAATTACCTTAGTCACCATTTTCCAAATGTGTTTTTAAGGTCTTAGTCACTATTTGCACGTCTTCTTTAATTCAGCATGATGTTCATTTTGTAACTTCTTGTCCTGTATTGGAGAAAAGAAGGTTGATCTTCGGCATGGCTGACTGTGATAAGTACCACAGCAGCCTTTACACCAGGATTCTTATCCCTATATCCATATATGCTCAGTTCAGGTTCCAAATCCAAGATAGCTGTGACCGAAAAGAGAAACTCAAGCCTTAGGAACAGTCAATTAACCCGTACGTGACATCACTGTGGCTGTCATAATCACTCACTGTGTTGTATATCTCTCCAGTGTATAACAGATCTGCACAGGTCCAAGGGCATCAACTCCTCTCGAGATCTCCCCGACAACGTCCTCACTTTCGCCAGAAGGCACCCACTCATGGCCAGTCAGGTGCACCCCATAGGCGTGCGCCCACTCATGTTCAAGAGGAGCGTCAACTATGTCAAGATCGTCGTGCACAAAGAGCCGGCGCTGGATGGGAAAATTTATACCATTCTGTTTTTGGGAACAGGTGAGCTTAACCACTCTGAAAAACTCTGCAGACATGCTTACAGCGAGTAAAAATTTCCAATGAGTGTACCTGGAATGACGAGACATTACGTTGCATTTCAAAGTCAATCAGGCGTGTCGATTGAAAAGGTTGTTTCTTTTTTTTTAACAGATGACGGCTGGCTGCACAGAGCTGTAGACATCGATGGAGAAATGCACATAATGGAAGAGCTGCAGCTGTTTGATAAACCTCAGCCCATAGAGAGCGTGGTCTTATCCTCCGCTCTGGTATGCGTTCATATATGGAGAGTCAAAAGAATACGACTTTAAATACCTTGTTTCTGCTGAAGTCATGCAGATAAATCTTTCTTAGCGATGAACATATTTAACAATATTTTAGTTCCTACATATACTGTCTGAGTAGTCTTTCCAAATTTCCAAATCCATTAGGTAGTGACAATAACAACACTTGTGTTTCCAGTTGTAACTTTAGGCTTTAAAGGCTTTATATGCGATTTTTTCATCCAGCAGATGTCGCCCCTTGAGCACCAGCATGAAACCAAAACAACTCGCGCTGCATTGTTGTGTTAGCATGCTAATGCTAGCGATCTTTATTATGCTCGTATCTTCACACTGCATGTAAATTTACCTGAAATGAGCGTGATCTAGAAACACAGTTAAGCAGTGAGTACAGTATGTTATTCTTCTTTTCTCTAGTCCCTCAATTAAACAACTTTTATACACGAGGGGAGGAGTCAGCCGGCCGGCCGGGCGATGTAAACAAACTGAAGATAGGACTCTGAAAACTCTGAAAACATCACAGACAGTGGGACTCGGGTGTTACACCCATTGTAGACAGTCATGACTCACAGAGTTATTTTCAGAGGATATACTTGATTTCTATTACATTTAAGTGTTAAAAATCACATATAAAGACTTTAAAGTAATTTGCAAACACAATAACGGACCGACCAATAATGGATTTTCTATTTTACAGCGGAGCATCTACGTCGGCTCTCGCTCTGGAGTCGTGCAGGTGGCCATGTCGGCCTGTCAGAGGTACACTTCCTGTTACGACTGCGTCTTTGCCAGAGATCCGTTCTGCGGCTGGGACGGGAGGCAGTGTGTGGAAATCTCTTCACGTGCACAGAGGTGAGGGAGCACACAGCTGTGCACACACACACACACACACACACACACACTGGACAGCAACATGTGGACAAACTAAAGGTGCATTCACTCTAAAGGACTCACGGGGGTTTCATAGAAAGTAGGAAAAAACAAACAACGCTCCGGCAATGAAGCTTAGAGAGAAAAAAACCAAAAAAGAGATTTGGCAGAGAAAGAGACAGATTCTTGCAGAGACAGATACATTTGCATTGCTACATCACAGATCCGGAGTCTATATTCCCCAAAGCCTCCTCTGCAGCTCCACCTGTTTATTCTTCTTCTGCGTCTTTCATTTCCTCATAAAACTTTTTCTATTTCTGCTCCATCTGCTGCTGCGTGTGTTTGAACGACAGCTACAGACATTTTCATAACCCTTAACAGTTTGAAAACAGCTTCTTTTTTTAAATGTGTAAAATACAGTTACGTTGTTTACATTCTTTAAAAACTCAAATATTCCCTCAAATAGACTCAAATATTTTTTTAACATGTTGGTCAAATCATACAGTTAGCCGTCCTCACATCCTCATTCGATGCCCCCCTCTCTTGAAATGATAACAAACCTCCAGAAACATGTGAATCATTTCAGCTCCGTGTACATTTTTGCATTACTTGACCTTAATTATTAATGCAGCTCACTTTCTCTTCCAGCTGAATTTTTCACGTCGTCAAATAATGTAGTCGACCTGGATTTCTCTCCCCCAGCAGCTCAGCTGGAGCTTTTTCTTCTTCTTCTGACGTGGGAAAGTTTGGACTCAAATTAAGATGAGCTCAAAAAGAACATTTGAATTTTAAAAAATACTCAGAATGAATTAACATTTAGGTTCAGTGTCATTAAAACAGGCAGAATTATTCTCTGTATGGTAACGAGGAGAAATTCTACAACCCCCCCAAGTATTTTTAAGTAGAGTACATTTTATATGTAGTTTATACTAGTGTTGCAGATCTTGAAATCAGTCTTGGTCTCAAGATTAAGACCACTTGTTGAAGGTCTTGTCTCGGTCTCAGACTGGGCGGACTCTGGATTTAAAATCAAGACCACCACTGAAAAGCTATATTTCCACATCATTACTGTGATTTGAAGAAAAGATTAAAGAAGAAAGAATAAATAACTTCAATTCACTCATAATTTGATGTCTGTGATGTTTTCAGAGTTTTCAGAGTCCTATCTTCAGTTTGTTTACATCGCCAGGACGGCCGGCTGACTCCTCCCCTCGTGTATAAAAGTTGTTTAATTGAGGGACTAGAGAAAAGAAGAATAACATACTGTACTCACTGCTTAACTGTGTTTCTAGATCACGCTCATTTCAGGTAAATTTACATGCAGTGTGAACATACGAGCAGAATAAAGATCGCTAGCATTAGCATGCTAACACAACAATGCAGCGCGAGTTGTTTTGGTTTCATGCTGGTGCTCAAGGGCGACATGTGCTGGATGAAAAAATCGCATATAAAGCCTTTAAGCTCTTACGTAAATATAGCAGAGATACGTTTTTAACATATACTTTATTATACCCTGAGAGAAATTCTAACAATCAATCCTTCGTCCAATTTTAGTATCGTGCATGTGGTATGAAGTGTATAACTTTGAATTAGTTCTGAGTTGCAGTACTTCAGTAAATATGATTGATTGATTGATTTATAGAACTTTATTGTCAGACAAAGTCTAACATTCGTCTGGCATCACATCGGCTCCATTTATATTTAAAAATGAAAGACAAGATACAAAAACACCAAACACATATTCAGACACGCCTTCAACTCGCTTTGATCTGCGACTCAGCTCCATCTCAAACGTTAGGACCGACTGGTGCACAAATATTCTGAGATAAATTCCACCACTGTTGGACTAGCACACATGATAATCTGCTGCCAAATCAAACAAACACGCTCTCATACAGAGAGAGATTACTTCAGCCTCTCTTCGTGCTGCAGACTGTTTGTGGCTCCTTTCATTCACTCTGCATGACTGAGCTGCAGACATCTTAATCTGCCATTAGCGGCAGACACGTCAGCCTCTCCTGTGGGGGTTTTTGTTTTCAGGGGGGCAGCATCACATTTTGGAGAAAGCAGCAAAAAGACTTGAATGTTAAAAGGAGGTTTTTACACTCCTCTGTTCAGGACTGAAGCATACCTTCTTCGTTTCTCCGACGCTGAATTAGCCAGAGGGAGTTAAAGGTCTGCTCTCCGGTGTTTTTATTTACAGAGGTGGTTTGATAGAGATACGGAGATGGCTATAGATGGACACAGTAACTTGTTGTCAGAAAGCTTTTATATATGCTGCTCACTGCTGCCTGGAACTTTTCTACAGTTGGACTCAAATTGCAAACTTTTGCTTTCGCTCTTTGAATTCAAATTATTGCTGCAGAAAAAGAGTTGCTCTCTCTCTTCTGACTGCAGATGTTTTGGGTTATTTTAGAATCCGGTTGCCATCTTCTTACTGTTACAGCTAATATGAGGTTGTCAGGATTTGTGATGTGATTGTTTGGCACTCAACCACAAATCCCTGTTTAATACCATAACCTTGATATTTTTGTCTCTTCTACAGAGAAATGTAGAATCTGAACATAGGGGTCGTGATTTTCAGCAAGTGATGTGTTCTGGTTTCAGTTTGTAGTCAATTTGTAGTCCGAGCTGTTTGACTTTAAGTCCTGACAGAAATTAATATCTGGAAATGAATATCATGAGCTCTGAAAAAGGAAACAAAGAAAATCCGTCATCTGTAGCAGTTGTCAGCCTGTAAAAACTTCATCTAAGTGAGGGGGCGTGGCTTTTGAAGGAGCACAGAGGGGAGGGGTCAGGCGCAGACGTAGCACTGAGGGAATGCTACTTTCAAAATCATGCTTGTTTTCGATAATTACAAACCCTGCCTTTAACTTACCTAAATTGCAAGCAAATCTCGTTCAAATGTGCTTCTCTTTCCGGCTCATATCGCTGAAGTGAGCTCTAGTAAAGCTGCAGTTATAGTTTACATTTTACCGTTCGACTGAGACGCAACATCACATTTGTTAGTTTAGTATATTTTGTTTTTATTTCTACATGCTGTTTGTTTCTTCTGCCTTTCACTGGAAAAAAGATATGTTCATCTCAGTGACGGATTTTTTTCCCCCTATTTCAGGTCAAATATAACCCAGGACATCTCGAGAGGGATCAGAGGCTGCAAGGAGAATTCAGGAAATGGTATGACGACAATACACAAACACACACACACACACACACACACACACACACACACACACACACACACACACACACACACACACACACACACACACACACACACACACATGCCTTCTCACATACTGTACATGCATTATGTAACATCATCACTCTAGTTTTTTTTTTTTTAAGTTTAGCATTTAATTTTACTTGCATCCGTTCCCTTTGATCAGTTTTCCTGACACACAGAGATTATGAGGTGAAAAAAAGTCCAATACTCTCTTCTTCTTTTTTTTTTTGCTTTGAAGCATTTAGCAGCTATTAAAGGATTTCATAGGTGAGCGAAGCCTTACCCATCCCCCAGGTCCCAGAGTACACATTTTTTAATCAGGTCCTCTCTTGCTGGAGGTCATGCGCGTCTTGCTGGCTGCATTGCGGGGGCTCCTTACATTTAAAGAGGCTTATGAAACGTGATGGAGAGTGATGCTGATAGGTCGAGCCGTGCTGGGCGCTCACCTGCACTTTGAATACTTAACACACGGCGACCTGACCTCTCCGTAATCATCCCTCTGTCCTCATGCATTTTTCTCAAAGATATCCACCACTTTATGTTCCTCTTCTTTCTTTCGTAGCTCAATCTCATAGATCTCTTTTCTCTCTTTCTCTCTCTTAAGTGGTTCATCGAAGGCGTTCTGTGATGTCAGGCGACGACGTGCTACTCCAGTGCGAGCTGCGGTCCAACCTGGCGACCCCGCGCTGGACTCTTAACGGCAAAGAACTGCAGGGATACGGACTCAATTCGGGCTACCGCATCGGCACAGACGGCCTCCTCATCATCGGAGCTCGAGCCCAGCAGAGCGGCTCGTACCGCTGCTTCGCCGTCGAGAACTCCGTCTCGGTTCTGGTGTATTTTTACACGGTCAAGGTGCACACCGACCCGTACTTCCCCGTGGAGCCGACAGCAACAACAAACCCCACGACGGTTTCCAGCCCAACAGTTTTCTCCACAACCACCCCCACCGAGCAGCCCCTCCCCTCGCCTCCGGCCCCAATGCCGTCAAGACCGGAGTATCAGACCTACAGGCACATGGAGGCCGTGTACATTTCCCTCGTGGCGGTCCTCGGAGGGCTTTGCCTGGTGCTCAGCGTGGTGTTGCTTTACATCAGCTTCTGCAGCAGACGAGCAGGAGCTCAGGACAGGAAGTTCTCCCAGCAGGGGCTGCAGATCTTAGGGGGCTCTGAAAGAAAAAGGAGCTCCCATCTGGAACTGAAAACCATCTCCAGCCACTGCAACGGCCGCCAGGGTCGTCGCTCCATCTCCGTGCCGACCTTCGGGGACATGGGCGACGGGTTCATCCAGATAGTTCCAGGCGAGGGGGGGTTCTCTCCATGCAAAACGCCTCCCCCTGCACCTCCTCTTCCAATGCCGCCCCCTCTTCCCAACGTGGACTACGCAAACGGGCTCTCTGCCACGCTGCCCAGCGTGCTGAGGAAGATGAACGGGAACAGCTACGTACTGCTGCGGCAGGCCGATCCGGACGGCATGTCCCCGCTTTACCACTCCTTCACAGAGGAGCTCAACAGGATCCTGGAGAAGAGGAAACACACACAGCTGGACTTGCAGCCCGATGAGAGCTCCATCTAGGACAATCGCTCAGTTTGTTGTACCACTGTTATTTATTTTTTAACCCCAATGGTGACCCATCACGTTGTGGGGAGTATCAACTGTTGTATCCAACGCTGCTGTCATTTATCCAGTGTCAGAGTTCCTGCAGTGTCCTAACTGGTTGGAGATGTGCAGCTTCCTTTGTCTCCCAAATTTCACTTCAAGAAGGTCAAAGTTGGAGCTGTGGAAATATCTACCATCGACTGCACGGTTACAAATAACACCGGGTAGAGCGCTAAAGGATGCTACCTCAGTGTAGACTCTCTGGAGACTTGAGAAAAAATGCCGGTAGGATGATGAAAAAACGTGCAAAAGGAGCTAAATGGGACATGGATACAGAAATAAATCAGGCCAGGAGGTAGTCATGAAAGTTTCCAGACTTTTTTTAGTGCAATGTATTATAACGCTTCTATGGAGCTTCAAGTGATAACACCTCCTGAAATCTATCTTTTGTGCATTGTTACACGGCTAAGAATATTTCCTACCTTCTGCCTAACTTAACCCCCCCCCCCCCGAAACCTGACAGCAAATCCAGCACAAAGTTTTTTTGTGGTAGCTGTTTCGTCGTGGTAGACCTCCCCTGGTTTCGGGAATTTCAGTGTTCATTTATGACCAAAAATTGTTACACAGTCAGGAACAATGGAACGACGAAATTGGCGAGCATCCCATCTACTGGTGTGTGGATACGGCGGCTAATGAGGAAGCTACCCGTCTACCTGAGTGACTCTCAGCTCCTCCTATGAACTCACTCATCCATCATGTTTAATGATGTTATTTTAGACAAGCTCAAGTATATGTGAGCATCCAACAAGATGGACAAGCAGAGAAGAAGATTATGCTACACAATGGTTAGCATCATTTCACATTTTGACATTTAAGACTTTTTTTAATCGAACCCATTGTTAGGCTGCGAGTACTGTAACATTTGTTTTCTTCATTTATTCATATCACAATTATTGCCATGCATTTTTTAATCTGAAATTGAGGAAAATTGTTAAGAATTTCAATCATAATTACCAAGAGCCATGGGATATTTTTCGAAGTGGTGGTATTGGCGACCAACAATCTACAACATTCAAATATGAAAAGCTTACTATGTGACTTTTAGAGCAGATTTCAAACCAAACAAATGTTCTCCTTGGACACACTTCCTGTATCCCTCAGCTCCGCCTCCACACTTCCTCTGTCCTCCTTTCCTGCTCAACAGACAGACTCTTCAGGCCAAAGAAATTATTTTCTGAGGTTTGGAAACTCTGTCAGTTGTACTCTGATGTGGACACTCCCTCATTATGTTCCTAGTTACATCGTCCCTGAGTTGGCTGAGCCGTCACTCGTCCCCCACGTAGAGCGGTTGGAGAGGGAGCAGTTCACAAAAACATGTATGAAACATACTTGAGCCGCTCAATGACACATGTACAAGCTGAAGGTAGCGCCGTCCCGTCCATGTGAACACAGAGCTGAGAACAACAAACCCATTGGGAGTTCTTTAGAAGGTCATTACTCCACAGTGTATTTAAGTCAGGTCCATGTGATTTTTACTTTATCAGTGTGAATTTTGCTTATGAAGCCTTTAAAGGGAAACATTACCAGATCCTCAAAAATATAGAAGCTCAAACCAACGAGCGTCTCACACATTCATGACCCTTTTTTTGTTGTTGAATCCAATTAGACTACAGGTACAACCCTTATTGTGTCTTTATAGGAGCATGTTCGGTTCTTAGAAGATACATTTTACTTGTATAATCACTTCAAGAAGCCAAATCTGTTACAGTACACAAGAGCTCAGGTGGTACAGTGCGACGAATCTCACATTTCAACTTTAAAACACAGTTTCTTGACTTTCCTCTGTCCTTGTGTGAATCGTTTTAACTGCATCACTGTTATATATGTTTGTAGCAATACAGTATTGTGTCAGTGCCAATGAAACAACATCTGTAGCAAACTCAAATTCTGATTTCTTCCTGTTTTTGAAAGGCAGCTTGAGCAGTGTGTTAAAGAGCAGTGGTTAGTTTGTGGTCAGATTGATTGAGTCTATTGTCGACCTCAGGCTAGATTCAAGGCCCGGGGAGGCTGAAAGAAAACTATGACACACACACTAGAAACAAACAGACGAGATGCTGTTAAGAAAACGCTTGCTCGCTTGTTCTATATTTAAACTGCTAAACACAGTTATACTCTGTCTCTGTCAGCCTGAAGCTTTGTTTTTTAGATCACTCATCAAACCTTGAAGATGTCGCTCCTACCTTAGACATCAAGATTTATAGTTTCACACCAAGAGATTTAAAAAAGAAAAGAAACACAGGATTATTTTAGTCATGTTGAAAAGTGCAAAAATGATTTTTAGGGAGATGTGTGCGTTCTTTGCCGCAGATGGGCTGAATCAGAGCAGAGGAGACCTTCGCTCATGCAACCTCAGTGTTTACCTTACATTAGAGCATTGCCAAAACAACAAGAGCTGCAAGGTGAACAGCGCTGCGATTGAATATCACATGTAGAACTTGAGAGGGAAGTGACCGAAATGAATCTCTAAGTGGTCTGTAAACGTGTCACAGCCAGTGTTCAATAAATATCTGTCATTCAGGAAAAGTGTTGAATCAGCTAATGTCCTCGTGGCTCAGCACGTTGACTCGCTGTGTGCATTTGTCACTGAGAGAGAGAGAGAGAGTCAGTGACAGCTACAGCAGTGCTTGGCTCGCTTCCAGAGAGAGGACGACGACGAGGGCTTCTTGTCGTTTGAGTTAGAGCGCGACCGTCTCTGCAGGTGGAGGCAGACAGGAAACATTTGACCCGAGTGTCCTGGTTAGCCATGCAGGAAGAAGATGTTGATACAGAGGCAGGAGCTGATTTACACTTGTGGGTTTTATAGGTGTCTGCCTTCAATGCCACATTAAGAACCTTTTATTGAGCCCTTTGAACTGATTTTTATTCAGGGGAAAATTCACACTAAAAAGACAGATTAGTGTCTTATTGTTGACACATCAAATTTAGTCATATATCCTTTCTTTAGTTGGCAATTGTTAGGATGAATATTTTCCTTTTGTTCGCCTCTATACCAGTTAAAAAGGCTGTTGAGAGTTTGTGTTCAATTCACCCTTTGAATTCAACAGAACATGGGAGGACATTTTTTGCCAGAGTTCATTTCATGTTTGTTTGTCTGTTCCCTTAGACAAATGATCGGACATTACCTTGTCTGTTTTCAGCCTGCTTAAACCACTACTGCAACTGATTGTTTACTGATTCTTTTGACTCTGTTCTCTCTGTCACAATTGCTATGCTAACAATAATTTTTATGAAAAGGGGGGAGTGGATTGGGGGGTTCAGGCAGAAATTAGTCTTTCAACCAAACAGACATTTAATCGTTAGCTAGATTGTTAGCCCTTGCATGGAGCTTCTTCTGCCTTATATTATTTCAAATAATCATACGGAATATGTTGTATGTACGCACCTTATCGATCGTTTTATTGAAGGTTTAAAGGTTCAGATTGAGTCTACTGGGCATATTTCAAACTCTATGCTAATCTAAATTTGGGAAATTTTTTCGCAACTTGATTAAAATCGCTACATTTCCAATCAAACGTGAATCATTGCGCTCCATTAACAAGTATTCCTAATGCTGTCCACACTGCTGTGACTATCCAAGTGTTTCCATGTTATGTTTTTTTTTTGTATAGGTAATTCAAAATGTGACAATTTTTTTGGTTGCGTTAAACAAAAAATCACACTGTATGCAGACGACTTTCTTTTATACATTGCAGTTCCCAGAAGAGTATCTGTGTTGGACACTGTCATGTTTTCATAAGAACTGAAGAGTTTTTAGTCCAAGTTCAAAAAGGGTGAAAGATGATTTAAAAACTGGAAGTCACCATCACCATCTGGTTCGTGGACTTGACTTCAAGTTTTGCATTTTGGCTCTCGTAATTTTTATTGTTGGCACTCTGTATTGGCTTCACTGCATTCCTTTCTTGTGTACAGTCTTTAGTCCTGGCTCTTTTCGCAGAGAGCAGATGACAATACAGCTGCTCCTGTTTGCAGACTCTAATTTGCATGTTTTCAGCTTTACGCTGTCAGCTTTATTTTGCCCTTTTCCTTGTTTTTATCCTCACACCCCCTGCTCACTTTCTGTGATGCCTTTTTTGTTCTCCCGTCTCATCACCTCTGCATGACAGTATCATCCATTAAACCCCATACTCACATCCACACTCTCTCTCTCAAGGACCCTGCTGAGTTTACAAAGGGCCCTGATGGCCTCTTATCAATTAGAACCAGTTTTCCAAGAGCCCTGCAGTTAATTTGTGTTTTATGAAAGCACCTCATATCAACTGGGTTTTCTGCATTTGTTTATCGCGAGGGACACAGTAATTGCCATTGCCACATTTATAGCTAATGTGATTTGTTTTATTGCACTAATTTCCAGCGAGACTCAGACGGAGTGAAAAGAAATCTGTGTTCCTGAATTACATATTTTTTAAATGATCCACGGTAACTTAAATGTTTAAATCATGCAAGCATTTAATTTTATATAAAGTGAATTTTCAAAGAAATGTTTTTGTTGGCTAACGTTTAAAAGTGTATAATTGGTACAACATGGCACTGCACTTAACCATGTATTATAGCAAAGCTTCCATAATTAAGTGGCCTCATTCAAAAGTTGTTGACATTTTTTAACAAAGGGAAAAAGAAAAAGCCTCACATGAATCTGCAACCATTGCTGCTGCTACGTTTTTTATTCCCATTTAAGGACATTGTGTTTACAATAGACACTGGATCTGCACTGTATATGTAACTATGGACTTTTGGTTCAACGGGCTAATTTATTAGCTACCTGTACATTGTTTCTGTACAAAAAAAACACCTGCATTCACTAACATGACTTATACATCCTGCTGTGTCAATTTGCAAGATACAGTACATTTTGCGTAGAAGTAGATTATTTCTCCAGATGTTGGCCAAAGAAAGTGGTGTAAAGAATTCACTATTTGTACTGTTGATTTGTCAAGACATTGTTTAAAGTCATGTAGTTTTCTTTGTGAACTGTGACACTTTCCATCCAGTTGGTTCTGTATGATGTTTGATGTAGATAATCCAATCTAAGTTGTCTTCTCAGAATTGAACTGACTGATGTCATATCCTTGCTCCATGTAGTTTAAACACCTGAGCTGTTCAGAAAGGATTTTTTTCCATATTGTCTGTTATGTCTTATTTATTTGAGTTCATTAAATTTCCACTTGCTTCCTTGCGGATTAAAAAAAACACTTTGCATTCTGTCCTGCCTGGGGGAGAAGTCGGTGTCAACAGCCCTGAGGGGGAAGCCAGGAAATAATATGCAGAACATGTTTGCACCAAAGCCTATTCTCCAGACGCCGTGATGTTTCGGATGTTTTTAGCTTGTGGCGACATGCAAGGCCACTGTCTTCCACTGGGAATGAAACCCACATCATCCCGGAGTCATTTACATACATATATGACTGACAGAGCGGAGGTACATTTTAACCTTAGAGGGGGGATAATGGCCATTTTCAGAGCGGTGTTCAAGGCAGTAACTTAGCAACAGCTTCTTTATTTAGAGCCTTTAATGTCCTTGTTGGTCTAGCTGTGCCAGGTCCCCCGTGAGGAGAACACAGTAGTTCTGATATTTACCGTTACCATTAACATGCATGAGACAACAGAAACCTTTTCGACATCATCAGCACCATTAATGGCTGGAAAGCAGAATCAAATTTTTATACATTTTGTTCTCTAAAGCTAATTTCTTCATGACAACTATGTGGGTGCTGAACATGGTGAAAGCCAAAAATCTGAAATCCGGGCTCCAAATGTGAGTCAACAAACCAATGAGTGATGTCACGGTGGATATGTCCAAATATATGGTTTATAAAAAAAAAACAGGAGAGTACAAAAAGATCAGACAGCTAGTGAACCTGGAGACATATTCTCTGCGTCATCAACCTTTACCTAACAGTTACCTAAAAGTTTACAGATAACTTATTTTAATTGAAGTAGTGACAGACAGCCTGAGGGGCCTGATGGCAATTTAGCAGAAAGTGAAGGAAATCAGCACCAGCGTCCTGCTGCAGAACTCAATTTCTGTTTCTTGCATATCACCATCCTCTGCAGTCATCTCACGTTTCTATTGTACATACATTTTCACAAATAATAACCAAACCATTTCCCTGTGGCTGGAGTTATATAATATACACAGTATAAACCAACAGATTAGAAGTCATCAATCATCAGAAACAAGCGATCTGTCCTAGGGGCACCTTTCAAGTTCTCTCTGAAAACTCAGCTCATTTGTATTCACCTGGTGATTAGAAGTTGTGGTGAAGAACACAGAGGTCATTTGTTGAGGGGGAAGCAGGGTCACCTCGTCTGCCTTCGCTTTCAAATTATGATGAATTCTGGGTAAGAACTGCAAAGAGAGGAGTGAGTCATTTCGCCAGCATCAGTCTTGTTAAATTTTTTATTTTTTTTGGGGGGGGGGGGGATCACCCACTGGAGGAGTTTTCTGTCCCCTCACAGCTGAAACAGAGGACAGGAGGAGGTTAAGACTCGTCCTTCAGGCTATCACACAACCATCTGTCATGTTCATTTAAGATTGAGTCATCTAAGGATGTGACAACCTTCAAACCTCAGTATGAAAACATGTACATTCCTCTAGTAGTTCAAATATAAAGGGTGATCATCTGCCGTCTGTCTCTTTTTCGTCGAGGTTAGTAAACTGCAGTTAAATCGGTCAGACGTAACACCACTGTACATCAGCTTTGCTCTGTTGATCTTCTCCTGACAAGCTGTTCAAACACAACTCAAAAGAGAACATCTAAATTTAAACACCAGAAGGCAGCATGTGCACAATTTTTTTATTTTATTTTTTTCATTCCAACTTCTCCCAAGCGCTGCTGCTGCTGCTGCACCTTCTACAAAAACATCTTCAAATATCCTTGAGATTAAAAAGCAGTTACTTGCTTTTTTTTTTTTAACAATTCCTGCTGACAAGCCTCAAGTGCTGGATTCTTGTAGAGTCTATTTAAATGTGGCATTCAGATCTGGAGCAGTGTGCTCTTTCCTGAACCGCTGAAGGGCCATCAGCCCGGACGACAGAAGGGCATATTAAAAATAAAAACTCACATCGTAGTTTGCAGAATATGTAACGAATGAGTTGGGGAAATTTGCTGAAAATATTATTTATTGTTAAGGGCAGACATTAGAAAAAAAAAAAAAAGACAAATCTTGCAGGAAGGATGAGACATGACATCCGAAGTGAGTCCTTATGGAGAGTCCTGTTTCTGCGGTCTGATGGGGCCGATAGATGGAGGCCGGTTGGTGAATGGGTTCCACTGGCCCTGGATGCTCGGGCTGTCCGTGTGGAAGGGCTTGCGGATGCGGACGATCTCCAGGCCAGACTGATTGGTCAGTTTGGTCAAAAGCTCCAAAATCTGCGGAGATGTTTTGTTTGTGACGATCTCTTCCCTCACATTGCCGTTCACTGCAGGAAGGAGGGAAAAAAGGAAAAAAAACGAGTGTGAGTGACTTCAAAAAGTGATTCCCTTTCGCTCTGACAAATCTGCTTGTGAAATTAAAGAGCGTCAACAAGAAGTTATGATTTTGGGAGAGACTATTCAGGTGAGTCCCCCAGTGGCATTTCACTTCTACCTGAAAGCGGTTCTTAAAATAAAAAACAGAGTGATACTGCCACCTACAGTATTTATGAATTACAGCAAATAAGTACGTGACTGTAGTTTGCCTCTGTCTTTCTTACATACTGTATAGTAATAATAATAATAATAATAATAATAGCTTGGATTTATACAGCGCCTTTCAAGAAACCCAAGGACGCTTTACAGTAGAAGTATTTCTTTCTAAATCTTCTCACATGCATCAACAGATAATTTGATTATTCCATAAACCTGACCACACAACCATCATCTGACATACAGATGATTTGAGAATACATCTTATTTAGGGTTTAAGTTTTTCACAATAAGTGCGATTTCAAAAGAACACTGCTTTAGAAGACTGCTTAGTGTTAATACTCTTAATATTTGTAAAAGGAAAGATTTATGTCTTTTTAGTTTTAGTGCAGGTTAGAACAAGAAAGTAATATTCAGGTTCCAGATGCCCCCCCCCCCAAAAAAGTCATGAGCACTTACAGTATTCTGCAACTATTTTGGGTATCCTGCTCGTCTGTGGAGACACGTACACGACAGTTGAAGGGTTTTTCTTGGCGTAGTCCACCACTCCCTCTTCTATGAACTCCCTGAAAAAAAGAGCAGACGGAGGCAAACGTGCTGTGGTCACTCTGGGGTTTGGTGAAAACAGCGGGTAGATTCAAGATTCTTATTTGTCACATGCTCATACAGATGTGCAGTGAAATGTAAAGACTGTTCCGCAAGGCCATGCAATAAACACTCAAATTACTAATACACACAGTAAAATAGAAATATATGTCAAATTAAAAAATGTATTAGTTGAATATACAAAATATAGATGGCGTGAGAGGTGATCTGTCAACAGTATGAGTGTGCAAGGTCTTCTTATCGATTTTGCAAAGACTATAAAATGTTTTCATTTGTTAGGCTGCTGATAATTATTTTAATCTTTGCTGAGTTTGAATGTTATCAAGTACTGTGTTTGAGCTCGATAGGCTACTTTTACTGTACCATTACTGTATGTACAGTTGAGGTACCTGTTCTTCACTTAGAAATATTATATCCTGCTACTTTCTTTAATTTCAAATCCTTTCAGAGTAAAATAATGTACTTTTAACTAAACTCCATTAACAGGATAGCACAAAGACACCATATAGCATACAGAGCTCATATATACTGTACATTCTATATATTTTATTATATATAGAATTTATATTATAGTTCTCAGACGATACTGCGGTAGTGGGGTGTATCAGTGGTGGAGAGGAGACAGAATACAGGATGCTGGTGGATAACTTTGCTGCATGGAGTGGGAAGAACCACCTGGTGTTAAATGTAACAAGACAGAGGAAATGGTGGTGGACTTTAGGAGGGACAGGCCTGAGCTAAGCACCATCTCTGTCCTTGGGGATGAGGTGCCGGTGGTGGAGCACCACACAGAGGCCGTCGACAAGAAGGGTCAGAGCAGACTCTACTTCTTGAGGAAGCTTAGGTCTTTGAATGTGTGTAGCAAAATGTTATCCATGTTTTATCAGACTGTTGTGGCAAGTGCCATTTTCTTTGCAGCCGTCTGTTGGGGCAGCAGCGTCATGGGGCTTGTGACTCTAAAAAGCTTAACGAGCTGATTAGGAGGGCTGGCTCTGTGCTGTGGAGCCCCTGGAGGTGGTGTTGGGGAGAAGGGTGATACAGAAACTGTTGAACATTATGGACAATAACATGCATCCCTTACACAATCTCGTGTGTGAACAAAAGAGTGTTTTTAGTGGGACAGATTTAAAAATACTTTTTTTACCGACTGCAATTGCACTTTATAATGACTCACCTTTAAGTGAGGACAGAAGACATTTAAACTTTAGCCTGAGCTGCATATATCATATATCAAACTGTATTGTGGGCTCATGTTTTTTGTATGGGTGGGATATGTATGTATATATGTGTTGTGTGTTTGTATGTATATATGTGTTGTGTGTTTGTATGTATATATGTGTTGTGTGTTTGTATGTATATATGTGTTGTGTGTTTGTATGTATATATGTGTTGTGTGTTTGTATGTATATATGTGTTGTGTGTTTGTATGTATATATGTGTTGTGTGTTTGTATGTATATATGTGTTGTGTGTTTGTATGTATATATGTGTTGTGTGTTTGTATGTATATATGTGTTGTGTTGTGTTGTGTGTATATATGTGTTGTGTGTTTTCCTAAATTTCCCTGCTGGGATAAATAAAGTATATCTTATAATATTATTATATTAGTCTAGATTATATAACATTTCATTATATTACACTATATTGTTCATATTGCACTATATTATATATATATTTTTTTGCATTCATTTATTTTATTTGAAAAAATATAACAACAAAAAACAAGCAACCTACATAAAGATTAAAATATATATATATATATATATATATATATATATTATATTATATTATATAACTGCACTCTGCATTATTGTAGTACAACACTGCCTCTCTTCTCTGCTGTTTTTAAGATTAAGATAAACTTTATTGTCCCAATGGGAAACTGGTCTTGGACTTCACAGAGCCCAACAATAATCATTAAACTCCAGACAAGTGAGTTACTAAAACCAGAAATATGTAATAGTTAAGAAAAGTGATAAACAATGCAGGTACATCTCCACATCTTCACACACACACTACTTGCTGCTATTGATCATACCAAGTCACTTTAATCATCACTTTATCTTCATCATCGTCATTTTTTTATTTTTTTTTTATTTATCTTATCTATTCTGTTGAAGGTGTATTTTGAGCTACCTGTCTGAGCTGCTGCAACACCTGAATTAAATAATAAAGTATTATCCTATCCTATATAACAAAGCTTACACAATGCAGCATTATTTATATGCACATAAATAAATCCTAGCTCTCTGTCACACAGCTTCAAAGCTTCACACACTTTTTAAAAATTAATTTAAGAGTTTTTTGTTTGTTTTTACCTGACTCCTAAAGAGCCCTGCGCCTTTTTGGAGAAGATGATGGAGATCCGTTTGAGCTGACAGACGTACCGACCGACGCCGTTTCGAAGAACACTCTGCAGGAAGCGGCTCTGACTCCCTCTGGCTGTCATCTTTAGCACACACCTTCACGCACAGGTGTTAAAAATGTCAAAATTTTGAAACTAACAAAAGGAGGAAACACAGTCCGAACGAGCTCAGGTGCTGCAACACATCACAGAGGACGACTTCACGGGCATGTATGCGAAGTGGTTCGTCGGGGAAATGCTCCGGAGAGAAACATTTAATACACAAGACGGTTAAAAAAAAAACATTATCCTCATGTGAATTAATCTGTTTAAGTGTTGACTGTGATTTAAATGTTGTTAAACATAATACGGAAGTGAATAACATATATATAAATGTACTATTAAGCTGACATAATCACATTCATTTGGTGGTTTTCTCCATTTTCTCGGTATATGTTTCACACGGACTTGTTTTGAAGAAACACCCGAAAGCCCGGGCAAGAAGACGCACGCAGCATGGAGGAGAAGTAGGGCAGATAACAGCGACAGTAAGCTGGAATATGAGTGTTTTTTCTTTATCAAACGTGCTTTTTTTTTAAAGTAAAGACCAACACATATCTCTGGTGTATTTTTCTGAAGTTGTCAGTGTTCATTTAATAGAAAAAAAAAGATGCTTTAATGCTTCACTGCCTTCTCTTAACATGTTAGCGCAGGTCATTTAAAGCACAGCAGCAGGATCTTTGTTTGGTGTTATGTGTGTTAGTCTGATGTTGATATTTTCCCCTCCTATTGTCATGTCTGTTGCAGGTTTAATGTCCTAACCAGGTAACACATGTGGAGGAGGTTGCTGCAGGAGGGAGCTGCCTGCATGCTGCAGGTGGCAGACCACAGATTCCTCCACCAGAGACACTTCTCATCAGTCTGTGTGAGACTCCATCAGAGGCTTCTCCACAGGCAACCTCCTTGCTCCAAGCTCAGGGGAAAGGACTACCTTCCCAGTTGCACCAGGGCTTATAAAAAGGACGCCAAGTTGGAGTTTCCTGCGAGCCCCATCACGGTCACAGATGTCAAACAGTATCTCCGCTCCAAAGACATTTCCTTCCACGACGGCTACAGCTGCCTCCACGTCCCGAGCGTCTTCGTCGAGCCGTCCGAGAGGAAGGACAGCTTCTCGTTGTTCGTCGACAAAACCACCGGGCAGTTTCTGTGCAAAGACACGCTGGTGGAAGGCAGCTGGGAGGACCTGCAGGACTGCCTGGAGGTGATGCAGAAGGACGAGCAGGACTCGCTCAGTCCCCGCGTGCTGCTCGGGTATCCGGAGAGCGTGGAGGAGCTGGAGGAGAGGGAGAGGGAGCTGAGGGAGGTGCGGAGGGTCTGGTCCAGCTCTGTGCCCTTCGCTGACCTTCCTGAGGACGAGGCTCAGCTGATTAAAATCATGTTCCAGGTGCTGTTAAACTTTTAATGCATAAGACTGCATGACTCAAGGTTTGATTGAGGTTTATGTTGTTGTAATATTTTGTGTTTTTCCAGATCACCAAGATCTCCAATGCAACACTGAAGAAGTTTGGTGTGAGACTCTTCAAGCCCACGAAGAGCCTGGTGTTCCCCTGGTTTGGCGGGCCTGACTCGTCCCTGAAGGGGGTGAAGCTCCTCTCCGCTCAAAGCTCGGACGCTGAAAAAGTGACTTATAATGAAGCCACAATGCCAAAGTCGAGTTCTTACTACAACCTGTTTGGCCTCCCCCTGGTGGGCCGCATGGACCCGGAGGTCGTCCTGACAGGAAGTGAGCTGGACACTCTGGCTGTGAGTCAGGCCACGGGATTCCCCAGTGTCGCCCTCCCACGCGGGGTCAGCTGCCTCCCACCCATCCTGCTGCCTTACCTGGAACAGTTCAAGCGGGTGACGCTGTGGCTGGGAGACGACATCCGCTCCTGGGAGGCGTCCAAGATCTTCTCGCGCAAGCTCGGCCTGAGGCGCTGCTCGCTGGTGCGGCCCGGGGAGGGCAGGCCGCGTCCCGTGGAGGCGCTGGCCCTGGGGAAGAACTTCAACAACATCATCAAGTCGTCCATCCCGGCTGCTCACAAGTCCATCGTGTCCTTCAAGCAGCTGAGAGAGGACGTGTACGGGGAGCTGATGAACACCGAGCAGGTGGCCGGGGTGAAGTGGGCGAGGTTTCCTGAACTCAACAGGATCCTGAAGGGACACCGCAAAGGAGAGCTGACGGTTTTTACAGGTACAAGAAGATGTACATATATATATATGTAAAGGCTTTGAATGTTTGAAATATTCCTGTTCAGATGTTATGATCAATTGGCAGATATAGAATATGGCTTTCATAATCAAGTTTTTATTTGTATTTGATCACCTAAAAGTGAAATCCTGCACACTGCTCCTGCGAAGTATCACCAATTTATTAGAAAAATCACAACGTTTCTGTCCCTCTGAACCTTTGACAAGTGAGTCACCTAAAAGTAAAAATGATATTTTGGCTACCTTAAACTAGCTCTTTAAGGACACAGATCAATCAATCAATCAAACTTTATTTATACAGCACCTTTCAGACAAATTAAATTGCAGTTCAAAGTGCTTAACAAGAGTGCAGAAAAGTTATTGGTGAAAAAGTAGTTTATAAAATCATTGAGAGACCAATGCACACCAATAAGAATTAAAAAATGTGTATAAAAATATAAGAAAATAAAATACGACACATAAAAGCAACAAGATATTAAAATAAATACATAAAAATTGTCGTAGGATAAAAAAGACAATACAGTAATGTTAAGATTTGAATTGATATAAAAGCCAGACTGAATAAATGAGTTTTAAGACTGCGTTTAAAAATCTCTATATTTTGCTTGATGATGCATAGAGTCAGCGTTGCACCCCTCACCCTCTACAGTAGCCTAGAATGGCCAAAATTACGAAACGCCATTCCTTGACCTTTCATGAGTTTTGCAGTTATCAGTTTGGTGCAATATGCAGCGTCACCACTTGATGGTGCTAAAGTGCCCATATTGATCCTTTGACATTTGAGGGAGAAATACATTTTGGCCTTTATGGAATAACACAACATTAAAGCAGAGCTGATCAGTATTTCATTCTAATAACAGCACATCAGATAGACTGCATAATGTGAAAGATGCCACATTTACTGACTATCAAGTCAAAGTCAACTTTATTGTCAATTTCAAAATATGCCAGACATACAGTGGAATGGAAATTGCGTTTGTCTCCGTCCCGCGGTGCAATACAACCAAAATAAGATAAATAATATTTACAGTAATAAATTCTAAAGGTACAAAACAAAATGGTAAATAAAATACAATTTAAAGAAAAAGTAATGTGCAATGTGCAGATAGATAGCTTCAGAGTTGTTAGTCACTCATCTCAGTTTTTGGTTGGAGATCGCACCAAACTGAAAACACTCGACGTCCTTTTAGCGTCTTCAGATCATTAGTTTATACATTAATTTATCTGTAAACATCCACAACATCAAATATAATCATGTAATTCGATACATTGTACCCGAGTTCAGAGCTAGTTTTCATCTAAAGTCCTGTAGATTTAGCATTCACCCACAGAAGAGGCTTCGCTTTATTAATAATCATCCTTTCATTACAGAGAAAAATGTGTTTTGAATGTTACACCTTTGATTTGAGGTGCGCACATACTCATCTGTTTCCCACTCTGCACATTTTTTAAAAATCCAACACCTGAAGTTTACCTACATCTACGTTTGTCTCTGTGTGATCCAGGTCCTACAGGCAGCGGTAAGACCACCTTCATCAGCGAGTTCACGCTGGACCTTAGCATGCAGGGGGTCAACACGTTATGGGGCAGCTTCGAGATCAACAACGTGCGTCTGGCTAAGATCATGCTGACACAGTTCGCCATGCAGAGGCTGGAGGAAAACCTGGAGCAGTACGACTTCTGGGCGGACAAGTTCGAGGAGCTGCCCCTCTACTTTATGACTTTCCACGGGCAGCAGAACATCAAGTGAGTCAAATCAGGGATCACAGGAATCCAGATAGATGTGTTATGGTAGGATAACAGCATTTATCACATTTAATGGGTGTCAGTAATTTATCTGGATGACTTCAGCAGTCGCAAATTTGTCAGAATTGTACCAAAACTCAGCTGCAGTATGATACGATTTTACAAATCAAATTCATATTATAAAAAAATGATATGTATATGAATATTTTTTAACCCGGCTCTCCTCCTGCCTTTGTGCAGGACAGTGCTGGACACGATGCAACATGCTGTCTACCTGTATGATATCAACCACGTCATCATTGACAACCTGCAGTTCATGATGGGCCAGGAAAACCTCTCAGTGGACAAGTGAGTAAAAAAAAGGTACAAAACATTTTCAGGACAATGTCCATCACATATACGCAGCTGTGGCTCAGTGGTAGAGGTCGGGGGTTCGATCCCCAGCTCCTGCAGCTACATGTCGAATTGTCCTTGGGCAAGAACATCAGTGTGTGAATGTGTTGGTGTGACCTGCGGTGTAAAAAGCACTTTGAGTAGTCAGAAGATTAGACCAGTGCCATTCACCATTTACATATATATGAAAATAACTGGTGCTTCTTGTGGTCCAGGTTTGCAGTCCAGGACCACATCATCGGAGCCTTCAGAAAGTTTGCAACCAACAGCAGCTGCCACGTCACTCTGATCATTCACCCGAGGAAGGAGGAGGACGACAGAGAACTGCAAACAGCGTCCATATTTGGTTCAGCGAAGGTAAGAAGGAGGAACGATGCATCTTGTTGTTTTTGGCTCAGCCACTTACTGCAGGATGTGTCTTTCACAACGGGTTGCTTTTATATTCTCATGAGTATAATGAGCTTTTAATGATTAAGAATACACATGAAAATAAAATGTATACTTCCAGACCCTCTCTAACAAGCTTCACCTTCCTCTCCGGCTTCCCTCCAGGCCAGTCAAGAAGCCGACAACGTCCTCATCCTGCAGGAGAAGAAGCTGGTGACGTGTCCCGGCCGCAGGTCGCTGCAGGTGACCAAGAACCGCTTTGACGGAGACGTGGGCATCTTCCCGCTGGACTTCATCAAGTCCTCGCTCACTTTCTCCACTCCCAAGGGCAAACACAAGCTGAGGAAGGTCACCGCCAAACCAGAGGCGAGGAGGCCGAGCGGGGGGAGGAGGCGCAGAAGGTGGAGGAGGTTAAAAAGGAAAAAGCGGCAAAAACGACAAAGACTCAGAGAGCTAACAAGAATCTGCAGC